GATGCGCGAGCTTGTCGAGTGAATATATCTTTCTCACAGACATCACTGGAAAGTTTGTAGTTCGGTCGGATATGTAAAAAACAAGTAAGTAAAACAATGCACAAGTTACTTAACGGTAGGGAGAGAGAGTGGGCGAGAGAGAGAGAGAGAGAGCGCACACGTACTTCTGTTGTGTGGTCTTTGATGTTCACTCACTTAGCACGCATCTCATTTGGATTAAAACTAAATCGTAAAAATAAGACCATTTATAGATGCATTCACTATAAACATAATTTATTTTCAACCTTAGGCATACACGACTTTCTGGCGAAAGTGAATCTAGCAGCCTGTGTGAAGTATATAAGAAATATTACTATATTCTACTAAAACTGACAACCTGAAAGTGTCCAAATTTTTGAACTGATTAAACAATATATTTTTATAATTTTAAACATTGTGCTTGAACATGGCACTCAGTTTGATATTTTATTATGCAATACAAAGACATTGTAAATAAATTTTGAAAGTGTCCAAATACTTTTTGGTGCCACAGCATGCATATGAGAACATAAATGTAATGTACTAATGTTAGTAGCGTGCAGATTTAAAGTCAATCATAATTCAAACTGTTTGACATGGACAAATATGGCATCTCCTCTACGGTGCTGTTATTCCAATCATTTGCTGTTGCGTTGTCAGCTCACTGTGATGTTAGCCGCAGATCAGGCAGGTCAAGATTTGATACCATTTAAGCCTTATTTTTTATTCCCATATCTCTCCTTCTCTCTTTCAAAGCAGCCGGGAGCAGGGTGTGTCAGGACAGCCTACCTCCATCATGGTGGAGGGCGTTCAGGTCTCACTGCCCTCCTACGAAGAGGCAGTGTATGGCGCAGGCGGCAGTTCTGTGCCCCCTCCTGAGTCCCGGGTTCAGATCGTGCTGTCAGAGGGCCCTCAGGCTGAGGGTTTGAACGAACCTCTCGAACGGGCTCAGGCGAGTTACAGTTTTCCCTCCACCTCCACTGCTGTGTCTTCATGTCACGCAGAGACTGTATTGGTTCACCAGGTGCCCTCTTCCTCCTCTCCGTCCTCCTCATGCTCTCCCTCCTGGGCTGCTGAGCAGCCTGGTGCCGCTGCACCTCTCCACCGCAGGCAGAGCAGCGAGAGCAACGATCAGCGCAGCTTGCTTTCAGTTACCTCTGCCGAAGATTATGGTGATGGTGAGTCACTTGCAAATCTAGAAGTGATGTGTGGTTTAATGACATGTAACATTAAGTGTCCATGATAAATAAAGGAATCTTTTTAAAGAAAATAATTTGAAAACTTGTGGCAAATGTATATATATATATATATATATTAGGGCTGTCATCGTTAACGCGTTAACGCATGCGATTAATTTTACTATCCTTAACGCGTTAAAATAATTTAACGCAATTAATGCAAAATTACTGAAGCACAATTTCTATTCTAACCCTTTAACCCAATTTTGCTATTCTGCTTGCGATTAGATCATTTTAAGCTGCTAAACTCCGGGAAAGTTTTCAGTCCAATGATCCAGTAAGCGAATGCATTCAAACAATCCGTCCAAAACAGCGCTAATATAAAGGAAACCAGGCTGATTACATCAGAGATTGCAGAGAGAACAGAGACTCGCTTTGCGTTTTCAGTGAATTATTAATTCCAGTGTGTTTGGCTCTAAAACACGAGCTCTGTCATATTCTGTGATTGTCTCTGAAGAGCGCGAGCCCTCACACGTTGCGCTGTGTGAAGAACAGACTGAACGGATTGTCAACACATCCCACTGCTGTATGGCCAGATGAGACGCAAACTACGGTTTCTCGACTGGATAACCAGTCTCGCTAACAAAGTTTTGATGGATGAAGACTGCAATCAAGGTAAAAACGATTGCGGTGGCGTACAGGAGTCATACAGTAAGCACGCGTGAGTCCGTTATAATAATGCATGTATGAGTGCTCTTGAC